GTTCGTAGGCCTTCTCTCTCTTTGGCTGCATTCGTTGTGTACATTTAGAGACATTTCACAGTCCGCTTTGTCCATTTGTCCTTTCCAATTGAGCAGCTAGCAGATCTTTTAAAGCGCATTACCTTAATGAAGTTTTTTTACTCCAAACGGAGCTTTGCAAGAATTTCATTGGAAGTGTGGTGTTGCTGCACTGCGCAAGATTTCATTGCTTTTCCCTCATTTCCTCAATGTTGGCATTTGCTTCTGTTCCTCAACAAGCCTATTACTTCATATTTCGTATCAGAGAGCAAAGTCAAAAAAAAATTGCCTCAGTTATGCTCGTTTGATTTGTTAAAATGAATATGTCTAGGAGTTTTTAGTCTTTCAAAATTTTTGCAGAATGGGCAGACCGGACTGGCCGATCAGTAACAATGCAATTAAGCAGACGCAGGAGAAATTCATGCGAGAATATGAAGTAATGAAGTGCCTGGCAACACCCTATCTAAGCAAGGTTGCTCGAGTTATAATTGATGTTTGATTAGGTTACAGAATAATCGCTTTGCTAGTGAACACTGTGCAAATAAACTTCTTTATTTTTCTCTGCGCTTCCTTTTGAGTTTTAATTAAATACTAGCAAGCATAGCTCAGTGGGGAATAGAACTTTTGTCGTGCAGTAGTAGGTTAATTTTCGGTTCCGCCAATGCTTTTTTACACTGTTTTAAAATTATGAACATTGTTTTTTGAAGGAAATGGAGAGTGATTATGTTGCAAAATACGGGACATCAGCTGAGCAACGTGAGAGGCAAGCGCAGGAGCTGGAGCAGCGTCGCATGCCAGGAAAACCGAAACGACGGATCGTTGGTACTGGCAAAGTACTGAGAGCACGAGCAAATGTTGGAAATTTGTTGCACGAACATCGAACTATCGAAAGCACCCTAAAAGAGCTAATTGTCAGACAGCGTTGGGACTGAACAGGCCTCCATCGCAGTCGACCACTTTCAAAAATGACCATTTGTTTTGGACACATTTGCCCAGGCATTGCATCATTATCGAGTCACACTGTACACTGTTCATAAATGTGTTATATGTAAGTGACCAAGTGTTATATTTATCGGCCAATGCAAATTTTCCGTTGTAATATTGCAAGTAGGAGTTTACTGCAAATGTTTGGTCTTGGAGAGGTCACAGAATTTTGAATAAATTGCTTGCTTTTTACGTCTTCGACAAAATAAAACAGAACAGTTGTTCAGAATTTTCGCATCGTCCATCAGTGGAGTCGACGTTTTCCAAAACATAAGTTGACGCTACCGAAAGTGACTTCATCGGGTGACGGTTTGAAGTAAAGTCAAGAAATGGCGAAAGGAAGGATGAAGGAAGTGAGGGAGAGGACTAAACTGTTTTTCTTCCACGGCTTTTAC